CTCTCGGGATCTTGGGCACGCACGCACACGCACTCGGTGTGAGTTTTAAGCCACCGGGTCCGGGACGCGAACCGTGGTCGACTACATGGTAGTCCAGCGACATAGCCATTACGCTAACTGCTGGTCCTGCTCGGTATTTTTTTTAAGACAGAGTCTGGCTGTGCTGTGATCCTCTTGCCTCAGCCTCCTTGGTAGCTGGAATTGTAGGTGAATGTCTCTGCTCCTGCCTCTTCTTCTTCTTCTTTTTTTAATAGAGGATCTTGCCGTGTTGCTCAGGTCTTCCTTGAACTCATGATCCTCCTGCCTCCACCTCCCCAAGTCGCCGACATTGTAGGAACACACCACCACTCCTGGCCCGGGGAATTGGACAGGGACTTGCCCCTCCGGCCTCTGCTGTAGCCCCAGCCCGTGAGCAGTGTCTTGGCAGCCTGGTGCTCCCGGGCCGCCACATCTCTGTGTCAGAGTTCGCCCCTGGCTTTGCGTGGCAGGGCAGAGAGCCAGCGCTTGCCCAGAAATAGGACCTGACCTTCTCTTTGAGCAAGTTCTCAGAACCCAGGAACGGCTCCAGTTGGCCTGGCCGTCCTTGTCCTTGTGGCCCAGGGCACACGATACCTGATAATCGGCAGCCCCGTCTAGAAATACGTAGCTGGGCTGGGAAAGAGGGACTGTTGCTTAAAAGGACTTTGTCCTTCTAGGGAACTAGCAGTTAGCGTAATTGCTATGTCGCTGGACTCCCACGTAGTCGACCGCGGTTCGTGTCCCGGACCTGGTGGCTTAAAACTCACGCCGGGCGCGTGTGCGTGCGTGCCCAAGATCCCGAGAGGAGAATGGAGGAGAAGGGATTGCGGCGTGACCATCCCCCCTGGGGGGTGATTTCTCGCTTTCTATCTCTCTGTCTCTCTCTGTCTGTCTGGCGAGCGCACGCGCCCTACAGTGAAAATCTCTCCAAAACAAAAAAAAAAAAAAAGGACTATTGTTTTCTTAATTTTCTAATTATTATTCCGTCATATCATATCTTTACATGTTCCTAGTGAAACATACAAACGAACTTACTACAGTAGCAATGGTAGATAGTAGACACTTGATGGCCGGGTCTACACTGAGGAGTGGTCCGTGTTAGGGAGACAGGGTAAGGTAGGCACACAGTGGGTGGTCTGAAGTGGTCGGAGAGCTGGGCCTGACTGCGCTGATAGGACATAGACCTCAAGACTGACAGCAGATCGAATGGTCATGTTGGGTCCCGGCTCTGTTCCTTTTTTTGAGAGAGAGAGAGATTTTTTTTTTTTTGCTATAGGGCACATGCACTTGGCAGAGAGGCAGAGAGAGAAAGTGAGAAAGCACTCCCAGGGGGGATGGCCACATCACAATCCCTTCTCCTCCACTCTCCTCTCAGGATTTTGGGCGTGCACGCACATGTGCCCAGCGTGAGTTTCAAGCCACTGAGTCTGGGTCCCGAACCACAGTTGACTATGTGGGAGTCCAGCGATGTAACCACGATGCCATCTGCTGGTCCCCTGGCTCTACTCTGTAAAAAGAAAAAAACAAAGCAGCAAGTTTCATATTGTAGGCCAAGTGTTGAAACTGGTGTCTGGAGGAGGAAGCCGAATGCAGTTGAGAAGTTTCACCCATCGATTGTACACCGGTGGGCTCTGTAGTCAGAAAGTAGAGCTCCGTCCTGGCACTGCCTTAAAGACTAGATCCAGGCCGGCTCCGTGGCCTGGTGGGTAAGGCAGCCAGATCTTACATGCTCCATCATGTAGTTTGAGTCCTGGACCCAGCAGCTTGAGAAGGACGCGGAACATGAGTGCTTGCAGGTCCCAAATCCCCAAATGACAGAGAGATGGAGAAGGAATTATGGGGGGACCATTCTCCATGGGGAGTACTTCGCTCCTTCTCGGTGTCTCTGGTGAGTGCACACACCCTCTAGCAAAACAAAACAAAACACAACACCCAAAACTAAAAACCAGAAAGACAAAAACTATGTCATCAACAATTTATCTTACCTTTCCTATATGTGTGTGTGGGGAAAATGAAACAACAAAACTGTACGTCAGAGTAACCAGACAGAGGATTTAGATAGAACCTGGCTTTTAGAAGAATTCTAGACTGACTGATAGGAATAAAATATTACCATTTTGTTACCGTTAATGGAATAGCATGCCAAGGGAAGGATCATCAATAGCTGCTAAAACTGTCAGGTCAAAGGTCGATGGGAGGGACCAGCAGTTAGCGTAATGACTGTCGCTGGACTCTCATGTAGCTGACCATGGTTCAAGTCCTGGACCTGGTGGCTTAAACTCATGCTGGGCGTGTGTGTGCGTGCCCAAGATCCTGAGAGGAGAATGGAGGAGAAGGGATTGCGGCATGGCCATCCCCCCTGGGGGGTGATTTCTCCCTTTCTATCTCTCTGTCTCTCTCTGTCTTTCTGGCAAGTGCACACGCCCTATAGCAAAAACCTCTCAAAAAAAAAAAAAAAAAAAGAAAAAGATGGGAACTAACGTAATTGATGGATCAGGTCCTAAACCACTGGTCACTCTTATAAAAAGACAGAGGTCGGTATTACGTTACCTCCTAATACCATAGAAAGTACGCAGAATCATCTGGGAAGTTTCTTACCAAAAAATTGAGCATGATTCTGAAAAAACACCTTTTATTTTATCATTTATTTTAAATTTTGCTATGGGATGTGGGCTCACTAAAGAGAGATAGAAAGAGAGTGAGAGAAAGTGAGGTGCTGTTTCCCATGGGGGATGGCCATGGCACAGCTCCGTCTCTGTTCTCCTCTCAGGATTTGGGGCAATGCACACATGCCCAGCATGTTCATCAAGGTGCTGAGTCTGGGACTCGAACTGCCCAGATGGTCATGTGGAAGCCAGCTGCCCCAACCGCCATGCCACTGGTTGGCTCTGATCAAGCCTTTAGATCTATCTACCAGCTTATGAGAAGCACAGGAAAGAGGCCCTTGTTAAATACTACCACGGAGATTGGAATCAGCCAAGTCCAGAATGAAGAACTGTCCACAAGGCAAATTAAAAGGAAGAGGGACTGTTTTCGAGGGGCTTCCGAGGCGTATCCGTTATATTCGGATCTCGATTTGGATAAATCAACTATCATAAGTCTGTATTCCAAATACAAAATTATGAGGCAATGAAGGAATTTTAAGATAGATGATGGACTATTTTTTTTTGTTAAAGGAATGATATTGGTACTGTAATTGCAAAAGGTCCTTAAAGATACATACAGAAATATTTTCACATTATATGTTATTATAGTAGTTTTAAACATTTATATCTTGTAGTAGTTTTTAAAAAAGTTTATTTCTTGGAGAAAAGAGAGAGAGAGAGAGACGTAGTGGGGACCTGGGATGTGAAGCTAGGACCGTCCCACGTGGGCCCAGCTGGTTTCTGCTGTGCCCATGTCTGGCTCCTGTATTAGCCCATGCGGCTGCTGTAACTAATTACCAGCAACCGGGTGGGTTAAAAGCCAGATATATATTTTCGCACAGTTCTGGAGGCCAGAAATGTGAAACCAAGGCATAGGCAGGGCTGCACTCCCTCTGAAGACGCGAGGGGAGACCTTCGCCTCTTCCAGCTTCCAGTGGCCGTCCTTGGCTGGAGGCTGTATCTCTCTGCTCCGACTTCCGTCACTCTGCCTCCGTGTGAGCCTCGGATTAATCTCCCATGTCCTCTCTCCTTAAGATTCATGTGACTCATTTAGGATTGCCTACCTGAGCAATCCAAGACAGCGTCCTCTTAAGATTCTGTGTGTTTGTGTCTATAAATAATTATTATTGTTATTATTTTTTTATTTATTTACTGTTTGAGAAGTTTTTGCTATAGAGCTTGTGTGCTAGCCAGAAAGACAGAGACAGAGAGACAGAAAGCGAGAAATCCCCCCCCCCCCCAGGGGGATGGCCACGCCGCTATCCCTTCTCTTCCATTCTCCTCTCGAGATCTTGGGCATGCACACGCACGTGCCCGGCGTCCGGCGTGGCACCCGGTGTGAGTTTAAGCCACTGGGTCCAGGACTCAAACCGTGGTCAACTACATGGGAGTTCAGTGACATAGCCATTACGCCAACTGCTGGTCCTTGTTATTATTTTATTACATAATCTTTTAGTAGATACACCACATGGGATTTTCTCAAACGACAAGCGAGGCACATTGTGATTCCTCTGAGGCCTCCAGATCCCCTGTGTTTTGGAGGACCCCGTTTCTTCTGAAGTCTGACTGCTGCCCGCGAGGTCACCAGCGGTGCCGGTAGTAAAGACGGCTTTGCTGAGTGGCTCTGTCGTGGGTCCTTGCTCTGACCTGGATCCCGCACTCGATCCTGTGTTTCTGCACCACCATGCCCGGGATCTGGTCCAGGGACGGTCAGCGTGCTCGTGTGGAACCAGACGGGGGTAGCCGGCTGCCGTCCTGTGGTCAGACCCACGGCGAGGTCCCCTCTGCAGCTGCGTCCTCCGGAGGAGAAGAACGTGCAGGCTTATGACAGACGCCACAGAAAGCTCCATTTGGGGTTGGAAGCAGATGTCTCAAGATAGTTGGCTCGGATAGCACCCATTTTATCGCTGCTACTGCTGTGGCATATCAAGACGCTCCGCAGGTGGTAAAGCAAAAGTTCTTTTGAAGAGAAACTGCTTTAAAATCTGCTTTTAGACAACCTTTTTTTTTTTCTAGAGGTTTTTGCCGTAAGGGGTTCATGCTTGCCTGAGAGAGAGGGAGAGAGACAGAGACAGTGGGAGGGAAAGTGACAAATTACCCCCTGGGGGGATGGCCACGCCACAGTCCCTTTTCCTCCATTCTCTCCTGGGTCTTTGGACACGCTTGCACTCGCACCTGGCATGAGTTTGAAGCCACTGGGTCCAGGGCTTGAACCACGGGCAGCCTTGTGGGTGTCAGCAGTGTAACCACTCCGCCCTCTGCTGGCCGGACAAACTGCTTTTCACCTGACAGATCCTTACTGTCTTAGCCCTTCAAGATTCTTAATGTAGTCACGGATGATGTCTGCAGGTTCTGGGGATTAGTATGTGACTGCATTTTGGAGGGGCCACTTTTTCTTCTTACCTTGGGTATGATAGATGAGATTTGCTTAAAACAATCCACCAGGAGCAAGGAGTTGAAATGGAAGATTATGATCGTCCCAGTCAAGATCGGCCATCCATTGTCAATTATTTGAGCAGGAGAAGGTTGTTCCTAGTGTTATTCCCTTTTCTGTACATGTCTGAAAAGTTCTTTAGTAAGAGGTAGAAGCAAATGAGCAAACAAAAAGGTAAAAACAGCAAGATTCTTTAGTAATCTGTTCCACTCAGAATCTGGAAAATATAATATAACCTTGATAGATATTCACGTCAGTTGTTTTCTGTCCATAAAAACGAGGTATCAAAATTCGGATATCCTGGTCAATCCTTCAGGTTTTCACCACCTTCTCAGATATAATTCCTTGTACTTTTTAAAAAAAGTAAACAGAGACCAGTAGGTGGCATGGTGGTTGAGGCGCTGGACTCCCACATGGCCGACTGTGGTTCATGTCCCAGACCTGGCAGCTTGCTTTCCCACTTTCCCTTTCTCTCTCTGTCTCTCTTTGGTCCAATTAAATAATAATAATAATAACAAATGAAATTAAATAAAGAAAGAAAAATAAAGAATGAATGGAAATTCCTTCGCTCGGAATTTAGAAATTAAATGATCCGAGGCTTACAGAAGATCCACTTTTCTTTTCTTTCTTTCTTTTCTTTTCTTTCTTTCTTTCTTTTTTTTTGTGTGTGTGTGTGTGTGTGTGTGTGAAATTTTTGCTATAGGACATGTATGCTAACTGGAGAGACAAAGAGAGACAGACAGACAAAGTGAGAAATCATCCCCCAGGAGGGATGGCCATGCCACAATCCCTTCTCCTCCATTCTCTGCCTGGGATTTTGGGCATGTATGCACATGTACCTGGTGTGTTTCAAGTCGGCAGGTCTGGGACTTGAACCTCGGCTATCCACATAGGAGTCCAGAGCCTTAACCACCTGCTGATCTCTCCATTTTTCTTCTTACTGAAATATTGGTGAGTGCAGGAAGTGGCATGGCTGTATTTGAAGACTCCTTGGTGATGTAACTTACCATGACGTCTCTGTCATGCATATGAGATCATGAATGGGTTAACATTTTTATTATGGGGGAGCATCTTTCAACTGCTATAATGTGATCATGAAATACCCAAGTAGACTTGCCTTGGCACACAGACTTATCTTGCCTGCTAGTAATTACTATTTGTCTGTGAATTACTCTTTCAGTAAGCTCTGTAGTGTTATAGGCTTGTAATTTTTAATTCTTTTTTTCAGGTTTTTGCCATAGGATGTGTGCATTCACTGGGGAGTGAGAGACAGAGAGAGAGAGAGAGAGTGTGTGAGAAATCACCCCAAGAGGGGATGACCATGCGGCAATACCCTCTCCTCCTTTCTCCACTCTGGACTTTGGGCACGCACACACACATGTCAAGCATGATTTTCAAGCTGCCATGTCTGGGAATTGAACCATAGTCGGCCATGTGAGAGGCCAGCAACTTAACCACCATGCCACCTGTTGGCCTCGCAATTTTTAATTCTTAAATCCAATCTATTGTATTGTTTTTCCTTAAGAACCCACACTAGGGGGCCAGCAGTTTGCATAGTGGCTAAGGCATTGGACTCTCACCGTGGCTCAGCAACTTGAAACCTAAACCAGGTTCATGTGCACAGGAGCCCAAAATCCTGAGAGGAGAACGGAGGAGAAGGGATTGTGGCGTGGGCATCCCGCTGGGCGGGGGTGGGGAGGTGGTGTTATCACTTTCTGTTTCTCTGGTGAACGCATGTGCCCTGTAGCAAAAATCTCTCTCAAAAAAAAAAAAAAGAAAAAGAAAAAAGAAAGAACCCAAATCAGAGTTTTTGTGATTTCTCCTCTTTCCCACTCTGCCGGGAAGATTCCAAGGCACGATTGCTCTATGACCACACGAAGCAGGGGACAGCATTTCTCAAAGGGCTAGTGTGGCAGATGGAAGTGTGAGATTTCTAAAATACCACTGTATGCTCAAGTCAGGTGTTCGCGTCTGTGTCAGAAAGGAGGGTGGCTGTTGGGATACTGTATAGACTGTTCAAGTTACTTCACATTCCCTCCCCTCCCCTCCCCTTCCCTCCCCTCCCCTCCACTCCCCTCCTTCCTCCTTCCAGAGGGCACCTGTGCTTGCCAGAAGGCTATGGAGGGAGAGGGAGAAAGGGCCCCACCCCTCCCGGGCTGTGGTCTTACTGCAGTCATCTCTCTGTCTGTCAGGATTTGGGCCACACAGGTACATATGCCAGGAAGGTTTTTATTCAGAGGTTTTCACTATAGGGCGTGTACTCGCCAGACAGAGAGAGACAGAGAGACAGAAAGCGAGAAATCCCCCCCAGGGAGGATGGCCACGCCGCAATCCCTTCTCCTCCATTCTCCTCTCCGGATCTTGGGCACGCACGCACACGCGCCCGGCGTGAGTTTAAAGCCACTGAGTTCGAGACTTGAACTGCGGTCGACTATGTGGGAGTTCAGCGACATAGCCATTAGGCCAACTGCTGGTCCCCTGTGAATGTTTTTCAAGCCTCTGGGGCTAGCATTCGAACCCTGGTCAAGCACGTGGATTTGACTCCCTTAACCACTAGACGACAGGACCAGCCCCATATGCACTGCAGCTCCTCCGTGATTCTTTTTTTTTTTTTTCTTTTTTTAAGAAACAAAAGCAGAAATTAACATGCAGAATCTATTTAAATAACGCTTACACGGCAGCTCGGATCCCTAAAAATAGCGTGTTAAAAAATATACTTGGCCTTTAGAAATCAGTGTATCGACTCCCTCTGGTGTTAAATTGTTTTATCAGTGATCTTTATGTTGAATTTCTTTTCTTTCTGATAACAAAAGCTGCATTTTCTAGGAGCGATATAAACTCTAGTTTCATAGTCTTAAAATCAGACTGTCTTTTTTAAGCTCATGGCATTAAACTTTAGAAGGTACCTGTGTGGTTGCTACATGAGACTAGTCAGACCCGGCTCCCTCTTTTACACTTTTGTTCTGCGTAGGTCAGACACAAACACATGTGGCCAGTTCAGTGGAAAATTAGCTCGTGGTACATGGTCACACATCGTCTGCAGGGCTAGCTCCATTCTGAGCTTCTCGTTACACAGCTGTGACGTTGTAACCCAGAACAACACTGTAACCTAGACGCACAGGAAGACTGCGTTTCCCAGGAAGTGCGAACGAGGCGTTTCATACCATAATCATATAGGTATCAAAATGACTTCCACCTGGGCACAGGAATACATCGAAATCCTCGTGAACCTCTTGGGCATTCTAGTGGCTTAGTAAATGGTTTATTCTGAAACCTGGTGGTGATTATTAAATTTCTCAGCCGTCCCATCCTTCCAGAGTTGTAAAGTCACCCAATTTGTGTTCCCCGTAATAAAGGAGAGATGGTATGCGGGAATGACCAGGATGGTGGTTTCCGTGTCACTTGGCACAGCAGCGCCGTAATGTGTCTTGCATTTGTTAGTATATGCTTTCGTGCAAGGAAGAAATATTTATCTGGCGATGTTTCTGAAGATATGCTTTGTTTTATTGCCTGGGTATAGCATAGTTTTTCAGGAACACACACACACACACATATATATATATTTTTTTTTTTTTGAAGAGGTTTTTGCTATAGGGCACGTGCGCTTGCCAGACAGACAGAGAGAGACAGAGAGACAGAAAGTGAGAAATCACCCCCCAGGGGGGATGGCCACACTGCAATCCCTTCTCTTCCATTCTCCTCTCAGGATCTTGGGCACGCACGCACACACAAGCCTGGCGTGAGTTTTAAACCACCGGGTCCGGGATGTTAACTGCGGTTGACTACATGGGAGTCCAGTGACATAGCCATTATGGCAACTGCTGGTCCTAGGAACACATTTTTTCATAAAATACTTTTTCAGCTTTGTTTTACTTTTTGCTGTTTTTTTCCTTCCTCATCTAAAATCTGCTACAGAAATAACATAAATAGGGTGCAGAAAGCTGATCGATAAACCTACCATTTGTGTTTTTCAGTTTACAAATAGAGTAGTTCTCCACTATATGTTTTCATATTCCGTGGTTTTTTTTTGGGGGGGGGAGAGGCTTTGCCCTAGGGCATGTGTACTTGTGGGGTTGGGAGACAGAGACAGTAAGAGATAAAGTGAGAAATCACCCTCCCCAAGGAAGATGGCCACGCCACAATCCCTTCTCCTCCATTCTCCTCCTGGAATTTTGGGTACCCACGCAAGCTACCGAGTCCAGTACTTGAATCGCGGTCAGCCATGTGGGAGTCCAGCAACATAACTGCTACTGTATGGTGGTCCCATATTCCATGGCTTTAGTTACCTGTGTCAACCATAGTCTGAAAATATTAGGTCATCAAGAAAATCATGACATATTTTTCTGTGTTTTTCTATGCAAAAAATGCATGACGACTTTGCTTACTATAAGTACAGTAAGATACATTGAGAGAGAAAGAGACAGTGAGAGAGTGAGAGAGACAGTGAGCGAGAGAGAGAGACATTGTTTTTATGACAGTCTATTGTTATATTGTTCTGTTTCAGCATTAGTGGTTGTCAATCTCTCACTGTGCCCCATTTAGCAATTACACTTCGGGCTGCGGGAGAAGATAGCGGTCTCCACGGAGTTCAAGTTCCTCCTAGTTTGCTCTCATTGTGAGAAGTTGAAGAAGTACGAAAAGGAGTAGGGGAACGTCCTGTTAGCCGGGGCCTTGAAGATGATGAAGATGTGACACTCACAAGGGGACAGGCATGATTGTTGGCCACCAAGGGCCAGTGATGGAAACAGGATATATAGCCTGAAAGTAGAACGCGGACCTCAATACCCAGAAGCTCCTCCAGCAGCTAGGCTTGTAACACAGATGAATACGAACGGAAATTATGCCAGCGGGCTGGTGGAGGCAGGAGCAGACCCGTGCTAGCAAAATGGCAAAACTCTTCACAGTACTAAAGTCCCCCTACAAGAGCTACGACGTCTAATGATGTCCAAAGAAAATACGAAGCTTGTACAGCCACCAGAAGGACAAACATACAGCAATTAATTTTAGAGGCTCTCAAATTTGTCTTAAATCAACAACCTTCTACTCATATACATGCCTTGATTAAATATCACAATGCAAATACCCACACATTAAGTAAAAGAATTCCAGCTAATAAACACGACTGGCCATTGGTTA